GTCGCTACACTCTAGTTTCGCTACGGACGGTTGGGCGTGTCAGCCAGTATGAGTGTTCACACCTTCAGAGCCTTTCTCTGCCGTCTTGTTGAAATGCGCATGCGACAAAAAGTGGTAGAAAACGAGTAATACGAAGGATATGATACAGTATTGTCACTTGCCCGCTTCAACAACTGGTGGAGAACGAGTTTGGCACCGCGCCAAACGCAGCCGCACTGACACGCCCAACCGTCCGCAGCGAACTACAGTATACGTTTATGTGAATTTCAAACTTCTTTAGAACCAATTGATTTAGCTCGAGATTATCCCGGCAGTAGGCATGGAACGATGGGTAGAAGTGGAACGGGCACGTACACGAACATGCCTTATCCGGTAATTTTTCACAGTTTAAGTATTTGATCAATTATAATACTGGTAATTTTGTTGATCTTTTTTGACCTAAGCGGCTTTTTTCTGGATTGAAAGTATTAGTGCGATACAATAAAATTTGGGCACAGAAATTTCATAGTCCTAGTGAATTGGGGAAATCTGCACAAAGAAGCTTCCGGATAGAAAGCGCACACGATTGGCTACATCAATCTAACTGTTGACCACATGCAGTGCGCGTGCCTCGCTTGCAATTGGCTGATGCTATCAAGCAACCAATTGCAGGCTAATGTTACTCGACTTGTGCTCTCTTATGTCAACCTTCTTAAGCATGCTGTGACTTCGAGTTTTGACAGCACGCTGGTTCATAGCTCTACCTTTTTCGTCCAAAAGGCTTAAAATGAACATTTCTTTCAAGGAACCGCCACACGACACGTCAATGTATTCGGATCGTTCAATTTCACGACGTCAGTACATTCCGAATAATAATAACAACAACAATAGTCCTCAACATCTTCTTTCGACGTTCATCCAACCGACCGGAGTACGCCCTGGACCGCTCTCCTATTCCCAGCTTGACGGCGATTTAGTCTAGCTTTCTTGATTTCGAATTGCACAATTCGCACTCGCTTCAGAGTGATCTCCACGTGTTCGATTAGTTCACACTAGTCGAGGTGCTATATTGAAAAGCAATGGGCACGATTGCTGGGGGCGGGTGGTTATTGCCAGCGTCATTGGTGGAAGGGCTGCGAGAGGGCATTTGGCCACACCCGCTCAGCCCTTCCACCAATGACGTTGGCGACAGCCGCCCGTCCCCTGCCATCGTGCCCACTGCCTCTAAAGCTCCTCTGTTCATTACTGTCTGTGATATTTCATTGTATTTTTTCATAGCGCCGGCATTTATTTTCTATAGTATTGTTAGAAAGAATATTTCAACGGGTACATTTATGTAGTCCTAGAGTGACAGTCTCCTATGTGACAATGCCATAATGTAGCGCCAAGTATGGGTTCGAGAAGCGCGCTTTTCATGCCAGGCCATTGTCTTGCCAGCCTGTTCTCATATTTTGCAATGGGTAGAATGACCAACTGGCTCACGTATGATTTTCGGTTGTACTCTCAGAGTAGGCCCCATCTTCACTGGTATTGTTTCGTGTCATTCTCTTGCGCCATTCAGACGTTATTCAGAAATTTCTATCTCATTTCGTTTTTGGTGCTCCTCTTCATGCGATTTGCTTGCATTATTTGCTCAATTCCATTGTACGACATTATTTTCAATGAATCATTCAATCTTAGACTAACTTTGGTATTTTTTGGCGCTGCCTGCTCACCTCATGGCGGAGCGTTTTGCGCCGAACTGTAGCAAAACAGGCGGGATACAGTATCCTAATCCGCACCTAGGACAGAATCACTCAGTTTTCTCCAAAGCAGCACCTCAGTACAGGCGGAGAGCGGAATTAGCATTGCCTCCCTACCTGCCCTCAAATTGGAGCTGGAGCTCAATGTTGGGTAACTTAACCGGCTAGCGGTGTTCCCAGTTCTGTGAGTTGATGAGATCAAACATTTGATTTCACGCGCAATTTATGGGGTATAGTACCCCACTTGTTTTCCGAGTTTTCTAATCTTGAGCATTCTGCTAGTTTGCTAGTTTCATCAGTTTCCTCGCCTTGCTGAGACTTGTGAACTCCTGTAAAGCTGCGCAACGGAACAGCTTCTCCGAAGCGCTTTATTGGATTCTTTAGACAAGTTTACAATTCTGGATGGCCTGCTTGAGCTTCGCATAAATCCAGTTCAGGGGTTTATGGATTTACACGTCAGTAGGGACTAGAGCTATGCCCCGAAGGAAAGCAAGGCAAACAATGGTGCTTCCCTCAACAGTGTAGCTCACTTCACGGTCCTAGAAGTGAGGCGCGTGCAGGACGGAGGTCCAATAGTTCTCAGGGCAGTTCGGCGACGGGGGGGGGCATTTTGCACTCTTGCTACTTCTCGTCGACGTGTCGACCCATCTAGAGAGCCATTTCATGAGCTTACAAGAGTTGACAGGTTCTACCATGGTGGCTAGACGAGTTTGCTCACATGAGTTCACAGGTTTCGCCAGAGTCGGACTTGTACACCGGAACTAGGGAAGCAGTCAAAAGCGCAAAATGCACCCCGCCGTCGAATTGCGCCATAATTCTCTATGTTCCCCCATACAATCGGCGTTGAAGGTGTCTTCAATCACATAGACTTCATCAAGTCAATTCATTCATTCTTAATGAGAACGCAGTTGGTAGGGCAACCACTGAAAGTTTACACCTACGAAGGTCGTAAGGCGAAATTTGTTAGATTTCCACCTGTTTCAACGAGAGTTCGGGAAACAAACTACTGATCAGTGGTAATGGTTTCTCTACCATGTTTTTTTCTTATCCTACTTGGGAGAGGGATCAATAATGTTGGAAAGGCAAATTTAGATGATCGCTCGGCAATCACAGGGCATGGCCAATCGAGTCCAGGTCTGATATATTGCGGTCACCCCAGCAGTGAGGAAAGAAAAAACCGTCAGAAATCTTCTATAGGGGCCTTTCTGGGTCAATTTGGTACGAGCACGCTGCGAAGAGGTGGTTTTTACGAGTCCGATTTGTTCGTCTTATAGCAACCTCAGCTTTTCCGCTTTATTGCACCTTTCACATCATTTTCAATAGCAAGAGCCAGTAACGGAATTGTCGCACCATCAGGTATGAGCTTGAAATAAACTTCTGGGGTAGTATGGGGCAGTGGGCGGAGCATTGCCTTCGTCATGGGGGAGTAGTGCTCTTACAACGCATTTTCAAGAAGCGAAATCGGACGTCCCGTGCGCTTGCGGACCTGTCTACCTTGTCCAAGGAAGGCATTCGTATGTCATGTTATGGCGGGGTTCCTGCAGCGGATGAATAAGTAACATCTGCAAGAACTGACTTGCCCACAATGCTACGAATTTTGTCATCACTGACAGTAGCCTCGGAATGCGCCAGGCGTTCCACGATCGGGCGCGCCTCTGGAGTTGCTTGGTCCGAGTGATTCTCTGCTCTCGACTTTCCTGATTTTTTACAGCTATATTTACATTTTTCTCGAGCCAGAAGATTCACGCGGCAATTATTTGAACTTCTAAGAGGTCCTTCACGTCTTCTAGGACGTGATCAACTCTCTGACTGGAAAAGAGATACCACCTGCTGGTCCTATGTCAGCAGTTTGATCTTGACATACCAATTCCTTGAAAAAAAGGCCTGTTCATAGTTATCGAAACATTGTATTGTGTCGCTTTCCCTAAGCGACTTGATTTTTTTATCTGATAGGTTTTTCAACTGAAAATTGGTAATCCTTCAATACAACCCTGACTACTGAGTCCATGTTCGTGCGTTACGATACAAATATTTTTTTACTAACAACGCAGTGGTCCTTTCCAGCATGCATGCGTAGTTCCATTACCTTCCTCTCTTTTCCTGCCCATAAATCACATTCAGCAACTCAAGCTAGTAAATAAGAGAATACTGGAGGTTTGATGGTGTGCTGGTCAGCGCTCCCACTTTGGTGGACGTTCAAGAGCAGGTTCGAGTCCCATTCGAGCATCCGGTTTTAGTCATAATTTAGCAATCTTCTCTTGACGACAGCCTTTGCCTGCGACTAAGCTAGCTCTGCCGACCTGAGACTTGCTTTCTCCACACTTTTTTAGGCATCTAGGTGAACAATGTCCGTATAGTCTATTGTGTACTTTTATTATTATTATTATTGTGCTACTAGTAATGCCATTAGGATGAAAATTGCCATTCTGTATTACCAACGATACATATTTCTGAAGGAGCTTTCATTAATAAAAGTACATAGACTCGAGTTAATGAAATAGTCCTAGCTGCCGTACACCGTTGCCCAATTCGTGGGAAATTTGTGTCAGATCCAACTCTTCCCAATGGTCCAGGAGACTGCGAGAACATCGACTAACCCCTCATTTTGAACGCTCAGCGGGGACTGCTAGACGACGGTAACTTGGCAGCAACATTTCTTGCAACTGAGGTTTTCAAAAGATTCGTATAAGATGAGTGACACGAAGAACTTGTTAGGGAATGCCCCAAGATAGCGCTTTATTTGAAATGCTTAAACATTTTGAGATTTTTTTCCCAGGCGCTGGATGGCTCCTAGCGTCGCATTGGTGAGCCAGGGGCAGGGTAGATCATCGCTGAGGGTTTCAAAAAAATCACAGAGGTAAATTTTGTTTCAGAAGGACAATTTCTCGCTGTCAACTGTTCCCGTTTCTGGAGCGTTATATACCAATACAACCTTCAAACGTGGGCGTTTTTGATATTTCCAGATTTGCTGATCTGAGGTGTCTGCACCAGGGCAAGTCTTGCTGGTTTTGGCAAAAAATGACCCCCTTGATTCCCTCCACTACGACCCTCCTCATCCTGCCTATCACTTTCCTGGATTTCCGCAACTCCCTACCACTTTTTCCACGTTTGCTGAGAGTTCCCGGAATTTTAAGTTCTCTCCCAGAATTTTGCTGTTCAACGGGGGAAAGGAACTATATAGCTCGGCCCGCCAAAACAGTCGGCAATCGGCCTCCTTCAACCCACTTTTGTGAATTTTTCCAACCGCCGCAAGTCTCTCCCAAAGGCAAATACGACCGCCCCCCCTTACAGCGTCCGTGAACAAGAAAAATCCTGGACGGGCATGCTTGATATTGCCTGATATGTGAGCGAGACTGACTCAAAGTGTTTCACGATTCAACAAAAATTCTCACTTACGACCTCTTCCCGACGTGGGATAATTGATTCCCGCTGGAGATACCCATCGTACGACGTGTTTTGGTTTATACCTCTCTTATCCTTAGCCTTAGGATTAGCCTTAAATTGACCTTGCCTTCAAAACTGAAGCTTTCTGCAGCTGAAACTTCCTTCGATCAACTAAAATGAGAGCAAGGGGCGTTAGATTCAGGTTCATATGTTGCTAAACTAGGGAACTAATGCATGTACATACGCGATGTGCAGTAGTCGCTTCCACAGCCCATTTTCGTTCAGGAAATCTGCGTTGCACTTGGTTTTTCTAGGGAAAAATTGCCAGGCGTTGAAAGCGGCGGATGTGCGTTCTACCGAAAAGCGAAGATAAATGCATCTTCGCCGTGTAACTCTCCAGTCACATACGGCTCTCCCACCATGTCATCTCTTCCTTTAGGATAGTTGGAGGTCTCCGATTTATGGCTCCGGTCCCGGACCAGCCTACGTCATCGTTTGGCGAAACTTATCAGCCTGGACGGATTTGCAGTTGACCCCGGGAAAAATCTCTCCCGGTTGTTGTTTTCCGTTTCAAGCGTGCTATACATCCCTGCCCCTCTTGTGAGAGCGGAGGAAAGAGGGAGGGGTCATACTGACACCGCCGTGCTGCACTCCGCGTTAGATCCTAGGAAAGCTAAGTAATTGGTTGGTTATTCTTGTGTGGAATCATTCGCCTCAACTGATGACCGAATGTAGCGCTATGATCTCTCTCGGTTTATTTGAAATTTAGGAATTTTTGTGAAGATTTGGTTTCTTCCGAATTTTTTATGCATAACCAAAATCTCCGGGGCAAGGCAGTGAGGTTGAGGTGCCCCAT